ATCTTTATGCTCAAAACCCCGATTCAAGTAGTCATTTATTTGGTACTTCCCAAGGAGCAGGAACTGCCATTCTAACCCTTCTCGGGGGATTCCACCCGCAAACGCAAAGTTTATGGCTGACCGATATTGCTCATCATCATTTAGCTATTGCATTTCTTTTTCTCATTGCCGGTCATATGTATAGAACTAATTTTGGAATTGGGCACAGTATAAAAGATCTTTTAGAAGCACATATTCCTCCGGGAGGAAGATTGGGGCGTGGGCATAAGGGTCTTTATGACACAATCAACAATTCGATTCATTTTCAATTAGGCCTTGCCCTAGCCTCTTTAGGGGTTATTACGTCTTTTGGTCTGCCACCAGAACTTGGCTGAAACATCAAGATACATGGCAGCCGTATTAACTCCTCGGACGTAGTCCAACAAGCCGCTCCATATCCCAAAAGTCTTCGATCCTTAGCATCTCGGGTGCCAACGAATGCCTTTGGTTTCGCTTGATTCGAACCATCTCCGTCGAGCCTCTTCGACGGCACTAGCCTACGGGTTCTTTCCACTAGCCATGGCTTGGCCTAACCTTTGGCTCTGATACCACTTGTCACAGCGTTAAGTCCTTCAAGCCCACGCGGCACCCTGCTAACGGTCCGCTGTAGCAGAGTAAGCTGAAAAAGCCCTATTTTATATATATAATTAGTCAAGCCTAAACGTCCTTATTGAAAATCAAACTAAAGCGCTAACGAGCAAGAAAAGGCCCCTATCTATAGTAAGGGGCCTTTTCTTGCAGGATGCCGGGTGCGCAGGAACGCCCAACCGGGTTTCCGCCTTGATTTGGTCGTGCTGCTATGATGTAACGCGCAGTCGTCCCGAGGCAGCAGGATGTATGGTGTAGGGCCCCCTATTTTCTCTCCCTTAAAGTCCTTTATAGATTTCGAGTCGGGAATAGAGCAGTGGCTTATTCGGCGCTATATCACAATTCATTCATTCTCGGGCATAGCTGTTCACGAAACGTGGCATGGGACATCTGTCGGCGGCGGGAGTCAACCATCCGAGCGAGAGGTCAGACCAATCCCATTCACCCTGGTCCGATCCGAACGGATCTTGTTGAATGAATTGATCCATTGTTGTATGCCTTATTAGTGAATTTTTTCCTACTCGGACCCGCCTCCTTTGAGTACTGCTTAGAGATATAGTGGAAACATTTTGTTATGGTGGAGAGTGGGGAGTGAAAACACCAATGCAGCAGAGAACGACCGCATGAATCGGAATCCACTTATATTAAGACAGACGACCGAGAAAGAAAGGTTCCACGTTCTCCAAGTGGTTGATCTTAGCGTGCTAGCCGCTGCTTCATTTCGTATAGTGATAACGCTTTCTCTTTCTTAGCGCTCCGCCCCCCCTTGTATAGTAAGGGGGACTCTGGTTGCGCGGCTTTTTCTTATAGGGGTCTATTTTCTCTGACTTGACTCAGCTTGACCTACTTGACTCAGCGGTTAGAGTATCGCTTTCATACGGCGAGAGTCATTGGTTCAAATCCAATAGTAGGTAAAACCGGCCGAAACCCCTGCGCCAGCATGACAGCAAGCACGGACTGGCAGCAAGGAGTCAACTGAATGACCAAAGCATCGGTTGCTTCCACTTGTGGCCTTCTTCGACCGCCTTGACACCTTAATATCAAGGAACCCCCTCTCTTCTTCTCTTCATGTATGTGGGCTGCCCGCCCCGTCCCGAATAGACGAACAGGAACAGAAGAAAGGCGCGAGAGAGGGAGTTGAGTATCAACTCACCTCCCCTCTTCCACAATTAGGTGAAGACAAGGGAGGCCGGAAACCCCAACGGGAAACCTTTCACCGCGCCACACGATTCTTTCGCGAAGCGCTCTCTCAGACGTTTCCACTCCTGCCCCCGCAAGCAAAGAGGTTTCAAGATACCAGGCGACCAAGTGAAAGTGAACAGCCCCGAGAAAATCTTCTATAGAGCGTACCCTTTGTTTCTACTCTTTCTCTCTTCTATCACGGCATTAGAGGAGTGAGCCTGCCCTTAGGAACCAAGTAGGAGCATAACATAATATCTAGTTTATTAAAAAGTTTTCTAGTATGGCCTATCTGAGCGAACTACTCCTTTCTGTCTGCCACTATCCAAGGGAAGCGGAGAAGATAACTCTAACAACGGGTATTCATCCCATCTTGAGTTCTAAACTATATTCTCATGTCCCCAACCCCCGTACTCCACTATATGCAACCTATTTTTACACAACTTATTCTCAAACAGCTTATTCTATCAAACAGCGTATTCTCGGCATCAATGCACACACAAACTCCTGGCAAGATCCGATCGGAAATAGCCTAAGAGGAATTAGAAGAGCGGCTTAAAAGTTCCTTATCCTTCATGCTTCTCTATCCCTTTGTTGATGAATCGCATCTCCCCCCTCCATTTCTTCTCTCCAAAACAAAGTCTTCGAAGTTGGTTGGGGCGCTCGCCTAAGAAGGAACTGTGGCACTTTTTGGATCAATTGCTGAGGAGCAGACGATCTTGCCTTAGAGGGATGCGCCTTTTAGCTTGTTATCGCTTTTTAGGTTCTTGCTCCGCTTTCAGGGAATCCCTCACCCCAGTTCCATATGGATGGGGATGAATCCAATCCTAGGGCATTAACCTCTCTGGGAAGCCGGTCCCTTTACATAGCTGCACTTCCTCTATTCTATCAATTCAATTTCTTTTTTATGTCCACATGTCCGCTTTAAAAAGGAAGTCAGGTTTTGCATTCTATGAATGCCCAGAATCGGTTGTGAAAGAATGGCTTTTGTTCCAATCATCCGCTGTCTCCATATCCGTTGTTCAAATAGCAGCTGCTTGGCTCTTTCCCGGTGGAAGGGTTTCAGGAATAGAATCCGCATCCCTTGCGCTATAAGCGATGTTTTTCAAACCAGTGCTATTGAATTCAGTGCTATGTTTGCAATAGATGGTGCCGCTCTTGAATCAGATATGGAACTTGAGTGAGTGGCATATCGAAAAGATTCATATGCCTCGAACAAGAGAAATGTCTTTTGAATGGGCATCTGAGAGGAGAAGGAGGCACCTATTGTGAGGGAATGGTCTTTTGCAAGACTAAGGGCTTAGAGAGTGCAGCAAGGAGAAAGGCCCTACCATAACCGAACTGAAAGCCAATAATCGAATAAAGGGATAGAGAGAGAGCTAATGCTTCGGAAAGTCTTAGTAGGAATTCCTAGATCGGTTGGCGACGATCTCTAACGAGGGGGACTGAGAAGCGCAGGCTCCTTTAGCTCAGGATTGGTGGAAGAGAAGTGGAACCGTAGCCCTCATGAGGGTTTCTTTTCCTTTGGTCAAAAGGAAAAGTGTTCTAAATAAGACTTGGTTGCTTAGCACACCTTCCTTCTATTAAATAGATTCGGGATCTTTGAAAAGGCCTATCTTTCCAGTAAGTAATAAAGTTCAACTCAAGCCAGTCTCAAAGCCCAAAGCGGTAAGAAGCCTAATCGAGTATTGTTGAGGGCAAGCCAAGCCAGTAGGTTTCAAGCTTGAGTGCCCCTTTTTTTGGTGGGGTTTCAGTGTATTAAACCTATTGTTTAAGTTTACTTCCTTTACCTCAAGCTCATAACCCGAACCTATACTAAAAATCATAAGCACCTTACCCACTTTCCCAAGAAGCGAATTCGCTATCCTTAGCTCCTCTCCTCCCACAGGGAAGGGAGGCTAGATGTCCTTAGCACTCAAAAGAGGGTAATATAACAAGTTATGTTTACGCTTTTGTAATGAATTGATTGAAAAAGAGGACTTTGCCCGCTCTGGTTCTATCTAAAGAGAAGATGAGGTCCTGGGCTTAGCGAATATAATAGTAGAAGAGTTGAGAGACAAGCCTCACTTTAGTATAAGAGTTCTATTAGCGGAGAAGACACGCCCAAACTCAGGAGTCTCCCGTCCTTGAGGAAGAAGCTTGGCACCAGTCTTTGTTGCCCTTAAGTGAAAGGCTTCCCAGTTCTATCGGAGTCAGAAGCAAGAGGAAATCGGGATAGGGTACAGGCCAGGACTTTCTTGCTAAAAGAGGATTGGTTGGTTGTTGACCAACGGAAAGCATGGGACTTTTTTCTTTGGGCATTGCTTGGACGACTTAAGTCAAGACTGGCTACCTAGTGATTTACAACCACCACTCTATCTAGCCAAAGGAATTTCCTATAAGCTATCTTCTTTTCGATCTTGTACTAAGGCACACTGAACACTAACCCAATCAGCTCCAAAGTTTAGTTGCAAGTAGAATCAAGAAAGTGGACTACGAACGAGAGAACGAAAGCTAGTCGGAACGGAAGGATAGTAGAGGAGAAGTGGATCCATCCAGTTCAGGCGGATAGCCAGTTGTATCGGGTAGAACCTCTCTCACCTACGCTATTCTCAAACGGGAGATCGGGATCGGGGGGGAGCGATGAAGAGGGAAGTGGGTACTCCGAGGAACGGAGCCTACCTCGTCGAAGCTGTTGCTGACCCATTGAGACTAAACGGAGACCAAACTCACAAAGAGAGACATGGAAGAATGCGGCCTAGATTAAGGGGAGGTTTGAAGACGCTCGACCGTAAGGGAGAGGAAGGTTTAGCCCCCGAGTCTAGAGTCGCTATTCGAAGAAGTGACTTTAGAGAATTTCAATCTTTCTCCCGTCTGATCTTAAGAGAATTGGGGAAGATACACTGTAATGAAAGTCATTCTATTAATAAGACATTTCATAACTGACTTGCTAAGTAAGATACCAAGGCTCTGACAAGACCTCATTGTTTTCCGTGAGATTGAAAAAGCAGTCGATTTTGGATGCGAAAAGTATCATGTATAGATAGATGAGTAGTTCGTCTTCAAGTAACTAATATGGACCCAGGGAGCCAAAGACTATAGCAATGTGCAGATTCTCCGAGACTAGTGATTTTCAGAGAATAGAGTATGTGTTTCCTGCTGTTAACTCACGGAGGTAAGTTTCTTGTTCGAATTGCATGCAGGCGATTTGGCCCTTTTTCTCTTTCCTGGTAATAAGGCAAGGCCTTTCCCTATCACGACCGCCTTCCTTTATTCGGAATGAATTCTTTTCAAAAGAAAGAGCTAGCGAACCACACCAATTCCATTCCAATTCTCTCAGACAGAGCAGGATAGCAGCCATCAAGCTGCCCCTTTAGAGCGAGGGCCTTCCGAGACCAATGCTATCAAGAAGAAGGAAAAAGTGCGGCAGCTTTAGCAGCTTGTAGAACATTGGCTGAAGAGCTCACTGAAATGCGGTTTCCAGCTCCTAGGATTCTTGCATTCAAAGAGGGGTCAAGCTCGATCTTTTTTTTCTCGGTTGATACCCGCACACAAAGATCCTCCCTATGAACAGGAGGCAAGATTTCCGCTGCTCCGAACTTTGACCACGAAACAGAGAACTTTAGCCTTAAAATATTGAAAATATTGAATTTCAATTTGAAAGGGCGAACTGATCAACCTGCATGTGTTAAGCATATAGCTGAAGTAGCATGATTGGAGCTTCTTAGCGCTTAAGCTACTACCTAATTCAACTCTTTCCGAAATTGCATAAATAAGGAGGAATTTTTCCAAAGTGGCAGTTGGGCTTTCCTCCCAGTTCCGCTTCTGCTCTAAGCAGAAAGACTTGTCCGAAATCGCCGGTTGGGTAAAACAACCAACCCACCTGGTCAAAAGTCTTCCCTCCCTCATTTTTGGGGGGAGCGGAAGCAGACAAGTTTCAAGGCAGAAAAATATGTTTTTGCAGTACTTTTTCATAGAACTAGCGCCCGTTTCTTTTGTAGAAATGGAAATAAAAGAATTCGGCGCAGCTACGCTTCTTCCCTTTTTTTTTCCCATCTTTCTTTTCCATTTCTTTTTCTTTTCTTTTTTTTGGATAACCCTTTCTGAAGAGGAAAGAAAAAGAATCCGTTTTGCGCGTTTTTCGGATATTATTCTATTCTGTTTGTTCCTCTTCTTCTATACGATCTTCGTAAAAGTGAGCACGTGCGACTCTGGCCCTGGCGGAATGTCTCAGGCAGCAGAGACGCTGCGAGAAATTGTAGCTCGCGATCGTCAGATGCCGCCCCAGATAGAGGAAGAGGTGGCTCCCCCCGCCCCCGCTCCTGTAGTTCCCGAATTGGCCGTCCCCTTAATCCCCGATGAATATCGTATGAGAGAACTTCATAGCCGATTATGTTGTAACTCTTTAATTGGTCGGTACCACCAGGTAAGAGAAATGCTGGACCTCTTAGAGCAGCAAGCGGACTGGGAAAAAAAAAAATAGACGCTGCCCTCGTCCACGATGGAGTAGACCCCCAGTCTATTCTAAACAATCGACGCGGCCTCAGAGGCATCATACTATATAATAATAACGGGATAGCTTTTTCCCGTAGGACTTTGACTGCCCATTTGAACCAAGTGCAACAACTTGGAACCCGGGAGAGTCTTCCTTATCGTAGGATCTTACAGGCCATTCGTAGACACGACCTCTCTCTCTAATTTCCATTTCCGGCTTACCTTCCTTTCCTTTTGTTTTTCCGGTATGCCGCTCCGCTCGCGGAGCGAAAGAAGACAGTGAGTTGTTTGTGGTAATGTCAGAATTTGCACCTATTTGTATATATGAATTGTTTCATTATTCGTTATTTCCGGGTCTTTTCGTTGCATTCACTTACAACAAGAAACAACCACCAGCGTTTGGTGCAGCACCTGCATTTTGGTGCATTCTTCTTTCTTTCCTTGGTCTTTCGTTCTGTCATATTCCTAATAACTTATCCAATTACAACGTATTAACCGCTAATGCACCTTTCTTTTATCAAATCTCAGGGACATGGTCTAATCATGAGGGTAGTATTTTATCATGGTGTCGGATCCCAAATTTTTATGGATTCCTTCTTTGTTACCGGGGTCGACCCCAAAGCCATAATGTCTCAAAACGAGGAGGCCATAGAGAAACTATTTTTTTTTTTTTTGTCTCGAACTTCGTGAAGAACTCCATTCTATCTCTCCCTCGTTACGAACAAAAAAGTGGGGCTGCGCCCCAGTTGTACACTCCCTTCGTTCTACGAACCCTTGTTGATTCTGAACTTCGTTCGCGAAGGAACCGGACTTTTGACGGACCAGCCCTTTTTTATGCGCCGCTTTACCCTGAAAGGAAAATTCGCTTTGCTCCTCTGGGCGCTAGGCGCTCCCGTGGTTCGCGAGAAGGAAAAAGGACTCATCCTTTGTTACATCTGGCACGAGATGATAAAGAGAGAGCTTCGTCTATCGATGAACAGCGGATTGACGGAGCTCTTGGCATT